TACACACACCCCTCCGTCCCTGTTCCTCTGATAGTGGGGGGTGTATTTTGCACTTGACTCATTTGGATTATTCCCTTCCTCCCAGGCCGTTCCAGACAGGTGAGTTACTGCCAGGATAGCACAATGGGATTGTGTGTCGAGTGCCAGCAATGCCCCTCTGCCACGTCCACTGGCCACTCCGGGCAGTGTCTGCGACAAAGGATAAATGGCCACAACTCAGACATCAGAAAGGGTAACACACAGAAACTGGTATAGGGGAACATTTCACCATGCCTGGGCACTCACGGATGGATTTAAAAGTAGCCGTTCTACCAAGGAATTTCACCCGCCAGTTAAAGAGAGTTGACCTTCAGATGCAAATTTGACACTGTTTCCCTGGGCTTGAACAAAGCCATGAACTGGATGTTGCATTTAACATCTCACTTACAGCCAAAGCTAAGTCTGGGACACTTTCAGCCCACTTAATTAGCCTCATTAGCATGGGACTACTGTGGACAGGTACTTTTCTTTTCTTCCCTTCTTTTTCTGTTATAATTCTGGGTTCCTGTTATTTCCAGTCCGGCTTGCAGCTCATCCGAAGAAGCGGGTTTTGCCCGTGAAAGCTCATGATACTAATAATCAGGGCTCAACAAATAATGCAATCTACTCACCTGTGGCGAGGAGAATGCAACCCGGAAGAGCTGGGTTCAGGCAATCCGCACATACGCAGAACGATCTGTGCAAGTGCAGATCGCCATGTGCTCTCTGCGGTTCGGCCAGCCCTGCCAATAATATATATATTTTGTTTGTCTCTAAGGCTACATATACACTGCACAGTTATTTTGGAATAAGTTATTCCTAAATAGCTTATTTTGAACTAGCACATCTACGCTGCAAGGAAGCCTCAAAATTAGTCCGAGACAGGCTCCCCTAACGTAGACGTCCTATCTCGATTTAGCGCCCTGGGAGGAGTAACTTAGAATGGCTCTGTGGAGGGGCTATTTCGAAATAGCAGCAGTGGAGCATCTACGCGCGCCTTATTTCGAAATAGCTATTTTGGAAGAGGCGTTATTCTTTGTAGAATGAGGTTGACAGAAGCCGGAATAAGCTGTGCGTTATTTTGAAATTATTTTGAAATAACGGAGTTGCTGGGTAGAAACTCGCATTATTTTGGAATAACAGCCATTATTCTGAAATAACTTTGCTGTGTAGACACCCTCTAAGGTGCCTCTCCTGCATACTCGTGTTTATAGTGGGATGTATAGTGCATTTATTCTGCTACTAAATGGGCCTTGCTCACTTTATAAGTCCAGACAGGGCCTTTCTAAGCATCTTTGCTTCTCATCCTCCACGGGACTAGAGAGCCCAGCCCCCCTCTTTCTGCCTCTTGCACCATCTCTCTTCCTGAAGTTGTAAAATAGGAACTTGCCACCTGTTTGCTGTTAATGAGGTGCAGGGCAGAACAGAATCCGGCTCCTTCTGCCTTAGCTGAGTTGGTGCTGCAGGGCTAAAAGGAGAAAACAATGAAGTATTATGTGCCAGCAGTAAAATGAGCAGCTAGGACTTGAAGGTGCAAAGGGAACAGCTATCTTTGGGGTGTCACCAGCTGGCATTTTCCTGGGTACATTTTCTGATCATTACGATTTGTAGGGAGGCTGCTCTGGACCATGTCTGCTTCGCCGTCCACGCTGTACGCTCCACCCAGGTCCCAGCCCCGAAGATGCTACAGGCGAATTTAAAAGGAGATGAAACTATTTGATCTGAGGAAGTGGGTCTGGCCCACGAAAGCTCATCATCTAATAAACCATCTTGTTAGTCTTTAAGGAGATGAAACAAGTGAGAGTCTCTCAAACTGAGAAGGGAGGAAAACATCCAACTAAAAGGGACCTTCTGTCCAACCTGTCCTGGGGCCAGGTGCCTGCAGAAGTGGGAACTGAGGGTATGTAACACATCTCAGGATCAGGAGCCCTGTTGGCTCAGCCCAAAACATGTTTGCTGATTAAAGGTTGTATAGACCTTCCTCGGCACAGGAATGTTGCAACCCTGGGCAAAGGGGCGAGTGACGTCACCTGAAGAAATGGAAAATGAAACTGATTTCTCCACAGAAAGGAAACTGACTGGACCTTATCTATATGGACAAACACTTTGCCTGCAGGGACGTAGTTAAAGGGCTACAATCCACATCATGTGGAGGGAGTTGCATCAGTAAAAGGGGCTTTAACTCGGGTCACTGAAAAAACGTATTTAATATTATTTATTATGTTAGGTGAGCCAGTCTTCTCAAGCACAGGCTGTCAGAATACACAGGAAGGTGTTAAACTAGTAACAAAAGGAGAGGGTGAAAAGGGAGAACAAAGAGGATTTCATTTAGAACAGGGATGGCAAATCATTTTTATGGGGAGGGCACTCCAAGAATTTGGGCCACAATCTTCCATGCTGTTCATGGACGAGGTGTGGGGTCTGGGACGGAGGCTGGGTGCAGAAGGGAGATCAGGGTAGGGTGGTGGGGTGCAGGAGGGGATGTACGGTCCGGGAGGTGGGAGCAGGAGAGGATTCTGACCTGGAGGAGGGGTGTGTCGGAGAGGTTAGAAGGTCTGGGTGAGGATTCTGACCTGGGACAAGGTTGGAAGGAGGGGTGTGTGTGTGTGTGACAGGTGCAGGTTCTGGCCGGGGGGCACTTACTTTAGGTGGCTTTTGGCCTGCAGCTGAGAAGAACCCTCAGGTGGGCTCCCAGCCTGCGGCGACACTCAAAATGGATGGCCGTGAGGTGCCATGGGCTCGCTCCACACCCTGCACCCTTTTGGGAGGGAACCCTCTGCACATTGCTTGCACCGCAAGGCCTCCCAGCCAATGGGAGCTGTGATATTGTGCTGGGGACAGAGGCAATGCATGAAGTAGGCCCCTGCCCCCCGCGGGGCGCATGGTGCACAGAGAGCACATGGCCCCTGCAGCCAGCCGCTGTGACCAGCACTGGGGAGGGGAGACTGGCAGAGAACCCTCCCGAGGGTCCTGCTGGGCTCTGGGATGGTGGCAGGCCAGATCCAGCAGTTTGGTATTTTTCCTGCCCTAGATTTAGAACAAAATCAAGATGTGAACAAAATTAAAGAAGATTCCAAAATAGGAGAAGAAATTCTGAAGTTGCCTGTACACCAAAGCTAGGAGTGTGGTTAATAAACAAGAGGAATTGGAATTGCATATTGCATAACAAGAGGAATTGGAATTGCACATTTGACCTCGCTGGTTTTGCTGAAACCTGCGGGGAAGATTCATATGGTTGTAATGCTCAAATCAATGGTTGTAACCAGTTTATGGGCAAAAGGAGAGAGGAGCAGCTTTCTTCATCAAAATGGCACTACCTGTTTCTGAGTCACTTACAGCTTGCAAGCAAATGATCTTGCATGCTTATGGATCAATGTCCCAATAGATAAGGCACAAAATGGGGTATCAGTTGGCATCTGCTACAGACCACCAAATCACATTAGAGAACAGCATGACTGGCTCCTTATCAGGGTACCTAGAAAGTATAGTGGGGAAAAAAAACTGAGTTAAGGTGACACGTGTTTCTCAACCAGAGGTATGAGGACCCTTATGGGGTACCTGAGAGAAGTCTGGGGGGTACGTCAACACAACTGAAATTTGGAGAAAACTGAATTTTTGTTGTAAGTTTTACAGCGCTTGATTATTTATGTACTGTTTACACCCAAACATTTCATTGCCCACCCAGCTACAATTAAATTGTTTAAACAAATGTGTTGCAATGGTAGAAAAAAATGGTGTGTCTGAAAACTGTCGGTACAGGGGGTACTTATAATTTATTTTTCTTTTGAAAAAGGGGTATTTTATAAAAAAAAAAAAGGTTGAGAAACACGAGTGGTTTCATGCTGCCAGGACAAAACATCCTCAGAATTTCTAAATATACTAGATAACAATTTCTGAACTCAAGACATTTTGCATCCCACATGAGGGATTTATATATTAGATGTCTCTTGACAGAGAAAAAGGAATTGATCATGCAACTAAATATGAATGGCAACTTAGGTACAAGTGATCATGATTTGATCACAAGGGTTCTGTGTAAATAGAATAAAGTCCAAGCCAGTAATATACACGTGATGCTTCAAAAGGGCAAATTTAACAAAGCTGTAAACAATTATGAACCAAAGAAGTTGAGAAAAAAGAATTTAAATGGCAAAAATGTAAGTGATAATTGGGAACTGTTTCAGAATGTTTCACTAGATGCCCAAAAAGTCACCAGTGAGATAAAAAGCCATACTGTTTTGTTTTGTTTTGTTTTTTTAAAAACTGGCTTAAAAGGGCAATGAAAGCAGCTATAAAATACATATATATATATATATATATATATACACAGTGCTTTTTTTTGTATGAAAAAAGGTGCCAGTACTCCAGGCTCAAAGTTGTTGAGGAAAAAGAAAGAAAAACTGGAAAACTTGTTGAGCAAAAAAAAAAAGAAGCTGCACCGGGGACCGAGGGGGCTTCCATCTGGAGCCAAGTCGCCCCAGGAAATAGGTGCCGGTACGTCACAGGGAAATTAAGGTATGTCAGTTAAGGTATGATGGGAAAAGAGCGTACCATCGCAAAAAGCAATGTGTGTATAAAAAAGCACTGTGTGTTGTACATATATATGGTGAAAGCAATTATTTTAAATCAGAAGCACCGAGTTGTAGAAAATGGCTATGGGAAGCAAAAGGACACGGGGAGAACTCTATCAGCAGCAGAGTTAAGGACAATAATAAGGTGTATTTAAAGTATGGAACAAGAGGAATCATAACAGTGGTATTGGTCACAATTGGATGGAAATGGTAGACTGTCCAGTACTAATGCAGAAAAGGCAGAAGTGATTGATAAATATTTCTGTTCTGTGGTTGAGAAAAAGCTAGCTGATATAGTCGTAAAATGAACCACTCTCCATTCCAACAGGAACTTAGGGGGATGTTAAACAGCAACAACTAGACATTTTAAATGCAGCAGGTCTGGATACCTTGCATCCAAGACAGTTACAAGAGCTGGCCGAGGAGTTCTTTGGACCATGAATGTTGATTTTCGAGACGTCTCGGAATGCTTGCGAAGTTTCACGCAAGTGGCAGAAAGGTATGTTCCGCCAGCATGGAGAAGGGCTAAAAGTATCCAAAGACTCATGCAATGAATTGGCATGTCAGTCTGACGTTGATCCTGGACAAAACAATGGAACAGCTGTTACGGGACTTGAGCGATATAAAAATGAAAGACGAGTAATATCACAAATGCCATTCAGCATGGGGTATGGAAAATAGATCTAGTCAGACTAATGTGACTGTATTATGAAATTACAAGATAAAATAATAGTGTTGATGTAAAGTCTCAGCGGGGGAGCCAAGTGAGTCGGTATCTGCAAAAACAGCGAGGAGTCCTGTGGCACCTTAGAGACGCACAGATCTATTAGGCCATCAGCTTTCATGGGTAAAAACCACTTCCATCAGACAGGGCCTATAAATTGCCTGAGTTGTTGCATCAGATGAAGTGGGTTTTACCCACGAAAGCTTACGCCCTAATAAACCTGCTCGTTTCTAAGGTGCCACAGGACTCCTTGTTAGTGTTGATGTAAGGCCGCTGATTTGGTGCTGTACAACACTTTGATGAAGAAATGAAAATGATACAAACTCAAATGACACCCAGTGGCACACCAGGACACAAGCCAGACCCATGTGTAGCTGTGTCCCCTCTGCCCTGTAACCTGGGGAGCCCTTTGCAATGCTTTGCGGCTGCAGCCTCCAGTCTGGAATGCTCTTAAACAGCCGCAGGGTGGAAATCACTCATAAGAACGGCCAGACTGGGTCAGACCAAAGGTCCATCCAGCCCTGTGTCCTGTCTGCCCACAGTGGCCAATACTAGATGCCCCAGAGGGAGGGAACACGACAGGTAATTCTCACATGATTCCTCTCCTGTCACAGAGGCTAAGGACACCATGGCTACCCAGCCTGGCTAATAGTCATTGATGGACCTAACCTCCATTAATCTGTCTAGCTTTTTTTTGCACCCTGTTAAAGTTCTAGCCTTCACTGCATCCTCTGGCAAGGAGTTCCACAGGTTGACTGCACACTGAGTGAAGAAAAGCGTCCTTTTGTTTGTTTTAAACCTGCTGCCTATTAATTTAATTTGGTGACCCCAAGTTCTTATATTGTGGGAATAAATAGTTCCTAGCTATGTTGTCTGTTTGTGCTGCAAGCAAACAGCCACACCCCAACTCCCGCCATCCATAGAGATACCAGGGAGACCTCTCCTCTCTCCCTGTCCCTAGCATCTCACCCAAGACAAAGGAAAATGGCTATTATTGGATTGGGAAGGGCAAAAGTGTGGGGAGAGGATCTGGTCCTGACCTGAGAGTTTGTTCACTAAGCCTCTGGAGTATGTGGTGAGAAACTTTGGTTGAACCTCTCTAGTCTGGCACTCTCTGGTCTAGGGATGTGAACAGGGTAACTGGTTAACCCAGTTCTTAATGTTTAGCCAGTTAATTGATTAAACGGGATTTTACTTCCCTGCTGAAGTCTGGCAACATCCATGGTCCGGCATGATTTTACTTTGCCAGATGTCCATGCATCATGGGTGTGACCAAGTTTCCCGTGGTCCCATAAAGTTTATTTACAGCCTTCAGTCCTAGCTCTCAGTGTTCTGGACTGTTATTTAGCTCTAATTTACCCTGAAATGTCTTCTCAGAGCCCAGGAAGCAGTAGAAGTGTTGATCATGCTGCTAGACAATATTAACCTCCTATGATTCAGCAAATTCTCTAGTACCGGTCAGGTTCCAATGGTGCCAGACTAGAGAGGTTCAACTTGTACAGTTTGTTAAATTAAGGACTTGTAAAGGTTTTATCTTTATATTTCTTGTAACTATTTCTGACTTTTATGCCTTATTATTATTACTTACTTAAAATCGCTGTTTGTTGTTAACAATCGTGTTTGATTGTTTTAGCTAATTGAGCGTGTTCAGGTAGAAGGGTCCGGCTGACTTCATTTGGAGTAATAAGCTGTGAGTATATTATTCTCTTAAAGGAATGACAGACATAATATATGTGTATTATCCAGGAGAGGGTTGGGCAGGGCAGGACATATATTTCTGGAGGGAAATCTGGGACTGGCAGTGTTTTGGGGTCGCACACATTAAAGGGATTAATTCCCAGCTAACCGATAGGTCTCAAATGTAACCATAAACGGGGAAACAACACCAATCCAATGTGTTTCCAATGGGGCCATGAAGGAATAAATGCTTGGTCCTACACTATTTAATGTTTTTATTAATGACCTGGAAGAAGACACAAAATCCTGGGTAAAGTTTGCAGGTGGGACAAAGTTTGGGGGAATTGTACGTAATAAAACCACAGTCCTCACCTGTCTGTGGCACATGGAAGCTCTGTTGAAGAGGAGTAACATGGGACCTTGGGGGTCTTGACTGGGCATGCAGAGGGCTTTCTCTCCCCTGGGAGGCAGTATTTCAGAAAAAGACTTAGGGGTTGTGGTGAATAATCAGCTGAATATGAATTTCCTGGGTAATGAAGTGGCCTGACGGAGCTAATGCAGTCCTAGGGGGTATCATCCAAGAACCTCACATAGGAGCAGCGTGTTTCTATGACCTCTGTGTCTAGCACAGGTAGGACGGCTGCCGAAATATTGTGTCCGGTTCTGACACTCACCATTCAAAAAGGATGCTGAAGAATTGGACAGATTTCAGAGAAGAGCCATGAGAATGATTTACAGAAAGCCGGCCTGCAAGGTGCTCCATTTATTTGGTAATAAAAGCCACAGATTAAGGGCTGAGAGGCGGAGCTGTGTTAGTCTGCCTCAGCAAAGCCACCAAGGAGTCTGGTGGCACTTCAAAAACTAACACGTGTTAGGGTGTTACGGCACAAACTGTCGTGAGCTACAACTCACTTCCTCAGAGGCTGAAGAGAAAAGAGAAAAGGACGTGATACAGTGATGGGAGTGCGACAGCAGTGCTGATGGAAGGGAGGGCTTAGTCGGAGTCTGTAAGTACCTACATCGGGAATCACTATTTAACAGGGGGCTCTAGGCTCTAGCAGACACAGGTCGAAGACGATCCAATAGCTAGAAGTGGAAATGAGGCGAATTCAGACTGGAAATAAGGGGTAACAGTTGAACAGGGAGGGTAACTCTCCATTGGAACAACTCACCACGGGTTGCAGTGGATTCTGGGTACCACTGGCCATTGGTCGGTTAAGACTGGATGTGTGTCTGAAAGATCTGCTCTAGGGCAACAGGAATCCATTCAGGGAGGGACTAGGGCCATGGTATCCAACCAATACTGCAATAGCGAGCTAGCCACTTTATTCTGATTTGAGTTTTTATTGTTCAAGCCAACTAGCCACGCCCAACTGGCCCAATAGCCACATGTGGCTAGTGTGTTGGACACCATGGGCCTAGGGCCTGTATTACACAGACCAGATGATCACAGCGAGCCTGTCAGGCCTTGGCATCCGTGGATCAAAATTACTGCCCAGGAGGCCTAGTTCTGCACCCCGGGGACCTTTTGTAAGTGAGCACAGGCATTAACCTTGCACTCTGCCGAACTCTATGCAGGGACTGAGAGGTGGAGGAGTTTGGGTGCATCCTGCCCCCGGGGCCAGGCTGTTCTTGCTGGAAAGGTACGGAGGGGGAGGAGAGGAAGCTGCCTGGAGCCATGGGGTGAGTGCAGGAGGAACCCGAGGGCTGCACGTGCAGGCGGCAGGATGGTGCTGGCTCTGATGTGGCCTCACCCCAGGCTGGGAAGGAGATGGGGGAAGTCAGCCTGGAGTGAGGTGAGCTGGTTGCTGCTGGCTCCAGAGTGGCTCTGCCTCCGCCCCCAGGCTGGAGACAAGTGGAGGGAAGTTGTGTAGGTAGCTGGTGATGCTGGCTCTATCCCCCCCTCCAGGCTGGGGGGGGAGGGATGCAGAGGGCAATGCTGGAGGGGGTTGGCTTGGCTGGAGGGGGTGGCTATGTATGTAGGGGACAGTGCTGGAGGCTAGAAGGGGCTGGCTGTGTTTGCAGGGGGTGGTACTGGAGGGGGGGCTTTGCAGGGATGGGGCAGTGCA